TGCACAAAAAGGAAAAGGAGGGATCGTGAGAAGGAAATCAAAACCCCCCCCCCCCCCAGGTCAGCAGGAAGTCAACGCTTCCTGATTGTCTCACCCTACCATCGTTTATCTGAACAGCAATCAAGGCATATGATCAAATTATAGTAAGAACGGGCTCACCTAAAAAGATTAAAAATGTAGCAGGAAGAATCGGGAGTCCTCCACCCCAGCCCAGAATTAAATAACTAAAGACCTGGCAGGAAGGGCCAACATTCCTTGAAGCCTTAATCAGATCATATGAAGACTTCTTCTCTGAAGGGATCTACATGCCAATTAGACCATGCCAGGTAAGGGAATGACAGGAAACCCCACCTCTGTAGGGCACCTGGCCTTAAAACGCCCCCTTCTGAAGACCCATCCAATTTCACCTCCCTTGGAATCCGGGAATCACTTTTTCCAAGAATTCCTTGAGGGCAGGCATTCCTTCGCACCTTTCCAGGAACAAGAGGATCTGCCCTATAAGGAAACTCCTGGGGAAACCTGAGCATGGCTGCCCTACAGCTGATCCTCTTGTATATCTGGCTCTGGAAAATCAACTTTTCTCTCTCCTTCAAGGAACCGCCTGTGTGTTTATTCCTGGCTGGGAGATGAACCTTGTAAGGTTTCTTTCTAACACTGAGATAAACGTAAACTTAATAAACAATAAATTTCTCTTATTGGTGTGCAATAGCATTGGCCACCTAAATAACAGTATGTTCAAAAATCCAGTTCATAATTAAAACAGCCGTTTTATTTTCAATAGTAAATTAATTTCCCTTGGGTTGCCAGTTGTGAGGGTGAGACTCAAAGAAATCTCCTTTCCCAGGTGAGTGTACAGAAATAGAAAATGTATAGATTTAAACAACTACATCTAGTATTTACATGGATTCTCACGCAAACAGATCTGAGTATGGGAAATTAGATCATTCCTCCTTCTGAAGCTCCTTCCATGCTCCACACATATGGTTTCTCCCCTGTGTCAATCCCGTTATGAGAAGTAAGATCACTACTAGTAGTAAAGCTCTTTCCACACTCCATGCACTCATATGGCTTCTCCCCTGTGTGGATCCTTTTATGATGAGAAGTAAGATGACTGTTTTCAGTGAAAGCCTTTCCACACTCCATGCATTTATATGGCTTCTCCCCTGTGTGGATCCTTTTATGATGAGAAGTAAGATGACTGTTTTCAGTGAAAGCCTTTCCACACTCCATGCATTTATATGGCTTCTCCCCTGTGTGGATCCTTTTATGATGAGAAGTAAGATGACTGTTTTCAGTGAAAGCCTTTCCACACTCCATGCATTTATATGGCTTCTCCCCTGTGTGGATCCTTTTATGGGCAATAAGGTGAGAGCTTATTCTGAAGCTCTTTCCACACTCCACACATTTATGTGGTTTTTCCCCTGTGTGGGTCCTTTTATGAGAAATAAGAGAACTGTTTGTGGTGAATCTTTTTCCACATTCCACACATTTATAAGGTTTCTCGCCTGTGTGGATCCTGTTATGGGAAGTAAGTTCACTCCTACTACAAAAGCTCTTTCCACACTCCAGGCACTTATATGGTTTCTCCCCTGTGTGGATTCTTTTATGATGGGAAGTAAGATAACTGTTTTGACGAAAAGTCTTTCCACACTCCAGGCACTTATATGGTTTCTCCCCTGTGTGGATTCTTTTATGATGGGAAGTAAGATAACTGTTTTGACGAAAAGTCTTTCCACACTCCAGGCATTTATATGGCTTCTCCCCTGTGTGGATCCTTTTATGGGCAATAAGGTGACAGCTTATTCTGAAGCTCTTTCCACACTCCTTGCACTTATATGGCTTCTCCCCTGTGTGGATCCTTTTATGGGCAATAAGGTGACAGCTTATTCTGAAGCTCTTTCCACACTCCTTGCACTTATATGGCTTCTCCCCTGTGTGGATCCTTTTATGGGCAATAAGGTGACAGCTTATTCTGAAGCTCTTTCCACACTCCTTGCACTTATATGGCTTCTCCCCTGTGTGGATCCTTTTATGGGCAATAAGGTGACTGCTCCTCCTGAAGCTCTTTCCACACTTCGTGCATGCGTGTCGTTTCTCCCCTGTCTGGATCCTTTCATGTGAAGTAACTTGACAACTTGTTCTGAAAATCTTTCCAGATTCCAAACATTTATATGGCTTCTCCCCTGTGGAGATCCTTTTATGAGACGTAAGGGACCCATTTTCACAGGAAAGCGTGAAAGTCCAATTGTGGTTTTTTCTATTGTCTCTGCACATATAATCTTCTCCTTTGGTTTGGGTTGGAGAGTGTTCATTTACAACTAATTTGTCTTTTAATAGACTTACACATTTTCCAATATACGTTTTCTTTATTTTTCCTTGTTGGGCAAGAAAGCCTTGCGTCTCAGCATCCATGGATGATGAGCTTTCCTGATTCCAACTATTTGACTGGCTTCTCTCATGACTTTCTAGGTGAATCTCTAGTTCCTTGTCCATTCCGCCTCCATGCCTGATCACTTCGAATTTTTCACTGGGATCTTTATTCTCATAGGCATGATCACCTTCAAAGTAAAAGAGAAATGAAAATGATAGCAAGGTTGGGGGAAATGATCAGATTGTAGGATTTGCATTTTTCCATGCTTACAATGGCATGGTATAGAAATGATAATTTCCATGTTCATGAGCCATATAAGCTTTGAAAGCATCTACAGCATCTGGTTTGCTTATAATTATCCTTCTATAGTCAAACCTTACCCAGAGTCAGTGTTGAGTTCAGGAAGAATCAGGGGAAACATCCAAGGAGGCATTAGGGGAAAACCTAAAATTA